GTTCTTTAAAAAAACCTATATACTGTAATTGAAAGAATCAACTACTCTACCATCATATCGTTTAGTAAACGTAATAATGCTATCACTGCAGGATTTAATATGCGTATCAATAAAATGTGAATATACACGTGTACGTTACACATACATTGCTGTATGTTCACAATTATAGTTTGCAATTATTTTTATGTAGGAGTCTCGTCTTTCCTGAGCCTGTGTACGATAATCCTATATCAGGCTGTTATTTACGATTCGTTTCATATGAGGAGAATTTCTGTATGCATCGCCATGCTGTCTCTGATGTTTGTGCTGCATCCGTGCAGTCCACCACCGACTAATTGCTATTATAATTATGATTGGACATGATTTCACGGAAGAAAGAGAAGTTTTATCTTCATCGTGTCAAGATGAAGGCAACAAAATCACAATATATTTCTTTATCTAAAAAAATCTGTATATCTGTAAATTGTAGGTATTGTATATTATTTGCAGATTGTGACCTTTTGTAAAAGAAGTGTGTATTTGCAATGCATATGCATTCCTACATTTTATTGATCAAATGTATATCGATACATAAATGTTTTAATAGCGTATTTCAACATTGTAAACAAATTCATTTCTCACGTATTCTGGAATGTAAAAAACACTAGAAAAAAGAAGAGATAAAGTAAAAGGGAAAGATGACATTAACGATGATGACAATTACAAAAAGAAGAAGAAGAAGAAGAAAAGCGAAAGACACAGGAGAAACTTTTTAATCAATCAATAAAAATGTGCATGTTCACATTACTCGCGTTCAGATCGATCAATGCTCACACCGCCGTTAGCACGCATTTGCAATCTTATTTATGCGTCTACTTATACATACATATATACGTCGCAGACAGCACGTATATGTATTTGCCAGGCACGTAATACGTATATCGCACGTCCCAATCGAAATGCCACCCCACGTTCTATTCACTTCTCTTTTACTCGAGGGTTTTCCAACAAATGGACCTGCTTGAAAATGATCTTAACCTGTTCTATCTCTCTCCTTCTCTTCACGTACACTGCACACAAATACTAATATGAGGAATGTAGTCCATACAATTTTTATTAAAAAATGTTCGAAATGTATCTATTTTTAATGTGGGTATAGGTTTCAAAAATACTGATATAACGAAAACATTTGGCTAGATACAAATCTGAAAATAATTGTACAGATTATGAAAATAATTATACCTACATATATGTAGAATACCTAAGCGTTTTTTTTTATTGACAATGAGGCAAAAAGTTTCTAACTAGCTTAAGCATCTTATACGGCACATTGGCTTTATCCTAGAAACATCCTTAGAGTGTACAGAAATTTTCTGGATCGACGTGTCTAAGACATTCTGTGATGTATGAGATTTTATTATACATTATTAGTTTTTACGATCCAAAATTATTTTTAGATTGACATCTTATAGGTAAGAAACTTCAGTAAGATGTCGTTTTTTCCGTTGCGTATATTTACGCATAATGTGATTAATTATTAAGAATACTATACATATATATTACGAGTACGATAAAAGAAAAATTGCTTCGTATGTCTTTTTAATATTTTATGTGTACGGAAAAAAATCATCACCTTCTTTTATGGCATTTATTTCGACTTAAATAGAGTATCGTGTGCATCAGTTATATATATACGTAACTATTAGTTATCGCAAGGCCCGAAATTCATTCGTGTTCTTTAATGAAGGAACGTGAAGATAATAATAATTAAGAGGACTCGTGAGGCGGAGATATTAAATTACAGAGAAAAACTTGTCATCGTGGAAAGTTTCCATCGTTTATATAATAATAATCCACTATATACGGGGATGTTTATGCCCTTGACATGCACATGAAAAGAAAAATAAACGTGCTCTGCACGTTTAGAGGGTGCTCATAGAGGTTTCTTTGGGTTTATGCACTTGCATCACCTTCCTTTTCTTTCGCTCATTTTTCCCCTCGCAACGATGCCTAGTGGTCTTTTCCACCCTCTGTAGTCGGTGATGATTAACACACGAAGCGGATACGGTGCCTTTATACCGTATAGGCGATTGCCCGCACGGAGAAAAATGACACGAGCGTACTAGCGCGTGGACAAGCCCTAACAAAAAGGAAAAATGCACTTGTACCTTCATAATGCCAAATTACGTGCGGCCTCTCGGAAATTCGTCGCGCCGCGGCGATAGAAAGCGTGTAGTTTTCGTCAGATATTAGTTTGAAACGGCACGCTACATTGAATGATATACGCGAGATTTTTGTTCACTTTACTGAACGTTATACATTGTATGATGTATATCAAAGTTTTTAGTTTTTTTACACGTGGAAGTAATAACATGCATCTCAGTATATTTTGTGCGTTTGTACTTTAATTATTTATACGAAATTCAATTTCAAACTTCTAAATTTTCATAAATGTAAGTAATAGTTGAAGAGCGGACAATTTTTCTTTTCTTTTATTTGTGCGTTTATTCCAGCAGTATATATTCATGTTTACTTTTTTATATTTCTTCTTAATATTTATGTACCGTTGTTCGAAATATTGAACACGATCTCACTTTAGATACTACATCGTATCTATCGATATTAAACCACCAAACTACGTTTATTGAACGTCACCACGCTTTATTAAGGCTGATCGTCGGACCATGACGACTGATCGATGATGCGGTCAGTGATGTAATTGAAAATACGATCGCAAAGTCTTCGATTTTCTACGCGTATAAAGGTACAGCGCAAAAAAGGATGGAAGCTTATAATGACGATTTACGCATCGTGTAATTCGACAGCAAACAGTCTCGATCAATACTTTCTTGCGTTTGTCTGATTCCATTTGAAGTTAATATTGACTAAACTCCGATAGGTATGTACTATTTCGACGCGTTATTCGACGCAATCAATATCTAACGTAATAATTCGACAAAAGTGACACTTGTAAGTATTAGCAAAGACTTTATTGAATTTTTCAATGTACGAGATGAAAAAAAACTGACATATCTTATTTGTTATATTAAGGCAATTTTTATCTTACGAGAAAAGCTGAAAATAACCATCTGTCTCGTTGCCTAAAGCTCAAAGAAAAAGAATGCAGCAGAGAGCCAGGCGCAATGAAGATAAAAAGGAAGAGAGAAAAAAAATGATGAAATGAACAAGAATAAGCGAGACGGAAGCGGGATGAGGAGAGAACGAGCGGAGTGGCCAAAGAGGCGGAAAGTCAATATTGCGAGCGATGGGATACGTCGGAATTATTACTGTACCTATTAAAATTTATCGGATATTGGAGGTGCGTCTGGGTAAACTTACTTCATCGTGTACGTACACGGCGTTTATAGATTTTTCAATATCCTACGCATCGCAGCAGAATACCGAAATTCTGAACAAATAGTTGGCAAATGGTTTAAGTAAAACCAATGTGCTTTCCAATTGCTTGAGATTCAAACTATCATTGTGCAAATGCCACACGTGCGTTTCACTGTCAAATTCAATGAAATTCCAAGCAAAACGAATTAAGAGATTAACCGCGTGTACCTCGAACATATTCCTAGATTTGCATACATTTAGTTTTCATAAAAAAAGAGAACCTCGAAAAGACTTTCACTAGAGAGACTACATATTTTAAAAGATTACCAAATTATGGATTGCATAAATCTAACGAACAAAAATTTTATATATGTATTGAAACGTGAGTATCCTTGTACAAATAACGTGATAAATACATGAAATGTAGGTGCAGCAGGAAGTGTTCGTGACGTTTACATTGACTATGCTTGGAACGTGCTTTAAAGAGGTGTATAATGTGGGGAACGTCACTCAAAGTGTCAATAATGAATAAAATTCTGGGAATAATGTTAATAATACAAAATATATATAAATATATATTTGGAAAGGTCATGTTTTTAGAAAACTCATTTTATTCTGATCCTCAACAAACAAGCTAACGATGATTTTCTGTATGTGTGTGTGTGTGTGTGTGTGTGTGTGTGCGTGAGTAGGGTGTATTTATAATTAAATTAATTAAGTTTGTTTTTCGCTTTATAAATTACTTTCATATATAAATAATATAAATAATAAGAAAATAATTTTAATGTTTTAAATTAAATTAAAAGAAAATCTTACCTAAATTCTTTGTACATATTTTTCAGCGATTTACAGACGAAGCTCACAACGATATTGATATACCGTATTGATATTGCGCAACAGTGAATTTCAATTAATATATTTGCAAAATTTGCACTGAAACACTAAATCGTCACAAATCCGATGTAAACGAAACAAACGCGCGACAACGACTGGATTCCAATCCACTGGACTCTCGCTGACACCAGACAGAACGAGTACGTGAGTGGAGTCGCACGAAGTACGTCGGTAAGTACCGAAGGTGGCCGAAGTTTCATTTGAAAAACTGATTGTTGCAATGCCATGAGTTTGTTCCCTTGTAAACTTTACTATGTTTAAATAAACACTATACAATTTTAAAAAGATTTTGCCGTTTTTAATTATAATACATTATACAAATAGATTTATATATATTTTTTAATTTTAACATCGAAAGAATTTATTCATTTCAAGCAATTTTGAATATATGTAATGTCTTTTCAAAAAATTGAATTGTAGAACTACACGTATTGGTATAATATGAAACTCAGTAAAAAATTCAATTGTAGTTTATTATTAATAATAATAGATAAAAGGATTATAAATCTGAGAGATATAATGTAGTGTTTGAAAGAATAAAAAATTATACATTGAACAGTCAAAGATTTTATATGATTAAAGTATTATTTGTGGTATACATGACAATTTAAAAATATGCAAACCCTTTTCATAAATAATTTCAAAAATCAATTCTTAAAATATTAGATAGTATTTGAAACACCTTGTATTTACTCTATGTATCTTTTGTTAATAAAGTAGGTTATTAAATACAATTATAATCGATAAACAAAACAAAAATTTTCTCAGAGATTTATCTCGACAAAATGTTTATCAATTTGTTGAAATTACCAAGTGATTTCTGATTTCCTAAATAATATATTTCAATAATTTATTAACAAAATGTTCAAGCAACGCAAAATGAAATCCCATAAAAAAATGTCAAAAAATCATTACAGTGAAATAGAAATAGAATCTAATAACCTATCCTCATCAACTTCAAACGTCAATAGCACTACGTGAGTATAATATAAACGAATAGATAAAATAATAAAATGTGTGAACAAAACTATCATTTATAATATACAATGTTTTATTACACAATTTAAAATATCTTATGTATATATTATAAATATATAAAATTACTTTTATTTAATTTTATAATTTACTCTTTAATTATTTTTCAAATGTTCTATCAGGAAGACAAAATGTATGTTCCCAACCATTTCATCAAACATAAATTACAAACCATCTATAATGGTTGAACAGCCACAATTTATCATAAAGACGCCTAAAAATGCAGCAATACATTTTGGAAATTTTTATGGTCTTTTGAATGATGTAGAAAAAGTATATTGCAATAATTATTGCGATAATCATCTTATAAAAGAAAAAACAGCGATGATTAAAAGACCACACCGGTTAGAGTTTACTAGACAAATGGTACATAGGTAAAAAGATCTATTTACTATAAATAAATGTGATAATCAAAAATATTTGCAAATTTTTCCGAAAAAAATTTTTTGGAACCAAAAATTTTTCTTTGTCAGATTGGAAAAAGCAACTAACATGGAAGATTACACGCGACAAGTGTCGGTTCTTTTAAAGAAGACAGTAGAGCCACCCAACTTTAGATTGAATCAACTTCTATCTAAAAATTCAATTCCTAACGGAACTCAAAGTTCTTCGGATTATCCACTCTGGTACAAGGAGCCTCATAAACTATCATTAGTGTTCTCAAATCCTATCGCTAAACTTAAAACATAATATTTGAAGAACCTGTTTCTCAATTAAGGATATTTATTAATATAGAAAGATTTATAATAGCTGTAATTAAAAAATATCAGCACAAATGAAATCATATTATTTTTTATGGAATCGTTTAAAATTTCTACGTAGACCCATTGAAGATTTCTATATATTTTTCCTTTAAAAAGTATTAAAAAATTTATTAAAACATAAAATACATATATATTTTTTATTTTGTACTTTTTACTTTTTCAGGAATTAATTTCGACTTTTTATCAAGATTAATTTAAAAATACTTCTTTCATTTGATATAACCGTATATAATTAATCTATCCTTCTTTCTAAAAAAAAAAACAACATTAATTAATGTTATAACGGTTCGGTTATTGAGTATTGTCCAAGTTGCCAAGTCGCGAGATAAAACTCATTTTGATATTCGTTCTGGCGTACTAATTAAGAGCTGCGATCATTAGTTTGCATGATGTTATGTCATAATTAAGCGTTGCCGGACTATTACGAATCCCGCCGCTGGAATAATTAATTAGGTCTAGAATCATAAAGGTATATATACGTGAAAACATAGTTAATCTAAAAGTTTTAAGTGATGGACAACCGGAAATTCTCAACGTTGCTATCACGATTGTATTTAATTTTTCAATTTTCTACACACATTTTTGTGGCATACGTAACAATGAAATATAGTAGATATATGTAAAAAAGACAAAGAAAATCCGCGTAACCCGAAATTAATATTTCTAGTACAAAAAAAATAAAAAAGATAAATTAATATAATAAAAAAATAATCATGTGCAGCTTGTTTTTGGAAAAAAAAAAAAAAAAACAAAAGGCGATGTTATCAAAGACCGCGGCATACGTATTGTTTTCGCTTCAATGAAAATCTAAGGGGAGATATACGGTAGGGTGCTACTTATCGATTATTCCGTCTACCAGCATAAAGACGAATTCCATGTATCTTTAACGAAAGCATCCTACTACCAAACAGGGATGCCAGAATCGCATGGATAAATGTATTTGTTTTATTAAAAGCGAATCCGATATTGATGGCTCTCGAGGAGTATGCTCAACTGTGGTTTTAACTATAAATCGTACAAAATAGCGCTTCGAAGCAATAAAACAAGTTTTTAATATCTACTTGATGTTTAATTCTATCGTTGTTATTTATAGGTTATATCTATCCGCTAAAGGAATAATCATGTAAATGCAAACACAGCGTAATAGTTCGATGATATTCGAAATAATGTAATTTTCAAAGATTATACTGCCTTAAACTAATCGTACATAAAATCTCAGAATATGCAATCAGTGGCACAAGAATGTGCACGTTTCTGAAAGAAACCGAGTATTTTAAAATTAATTATATTTGAAAAACATATTATATATTTATTTAAAAAATGCATTTACGCCATTTACTTGTGATTACATAAACATTTATTTTGAAACAGTTATCTTCCAGAAGATTTTTACCTAAAACTCTGATTAAAAATGACGTAAAATGTTTCAATCATAAGCTGTAATCAAATAATAATAATGATGTGATTGGCCGCTATACTAAATAAATGCATTTTGGTAAAAACGTAATGTATTTTTAAAATATATAACTTTTTAATTTTTAATATATTCGATTTTTTTTTTTTAGAAAACTGCTAACAACGTTCTTGTGCCACTGATCATAATTTAAAATATAAATTACGCATTTGTGATTGAACAGATTGATTTAAAAAAAAAAAAAAACAGTTTAAAGAATTTAGAAACATTATAGGACAAAAATGTGCATATGTAAATATTCGTATATACATAGATTTATTCTTCTTTTGCAAACTATACAGCATGGTCCATGTGATTAAAAATTGTTTGAATAAATTAATGATTATTAAAATCATTCAATGATAGGACATGTATGAATATGTGTGAATGTAACATATATATCTTTTATAAACATAGATAAAACTTCTGTAGATATTATTTTGTATAGTGTGAAATGAAAATTGCAATTCGGGATGTACAATGCCATTAAAATCACACAGTTTCATAAAAAGTTTTAGTTGTCTTTTCAATTATTATATTGTATTAATGAAATCATTAATAGCAACTGATTTTAAAGACGTAAAAATTGCACCATTGTCGATGATATTACCTTGATATTGAATCAAATTGAATACAGTACAATACAAGTAATATGTATTTTTCATATTTGATATATCCTACTGTATTCTATACATATATGAATGACAATTCATTCCTTTCGTTAAAGCATAACGCAATTAGTTCCCATCTGATAGATATTTTTGAGGCCTTCCCTAGGTCTTCTTCCATGAGTAATACATTTCCAAAGGTCGATTGACACGCCAGAATTTATCGTTCACTTGTCGTAACGTTTGTGAGCCACTTAATACTACAAGTTGTCCAGGTGAAGGTGCGATATAGATACAAAAATTTAACAGCCTATCTGATTCTGATAATTCAGTGTCCAAATCCAACGTTAAACGCATTGCCAAATATTTACTCAAGTGGTCCACTGTAAAAACAAATAATTTGTTATCCTATACTAAAAATTTGCTTTTCCATTTTATAATTTATATATATAATTTATATTTAAACTGTAATAATTATTAGCTTTTTTGAATGAACGGTCTTTTCCCTCTTTAATTGCACGTTTGTAAAATATCTTACCTGTGGCATTTGCTGTTGTTTTTATATAGCGAATACTGTTCTCTTTCAATGCTTTTATTAAAGAATTATCACCCGCCATTTCTGTAGGATGTGGTTTAAAGACAAGTTCAATTTCGTTAAGCATCAATGGTTCGCTAGGACCTTCACCTTCTGTGTCAACCATAGAATCACCACCGCCAGTCTCAGCTTCTGCACTAGAGGAATCATTCTCAGAATTTTGTAGACTTTTCTGTCGTTTCGATGGTTTTGAGATTTGATTTGCAGGATTTGGTGATGGTGTGGTAGAGTTTCTAGATGTTGTTCCTAGATAAATGTACATAAAAATAATTGTAATAAAAATTACAAGTTTATATAAGATATTAGAAACTGCAGAGTTATTTCGATATTCATAAAATTAATCATACCTCCGCTATTTAAAGGTCCTGTCGCACTTTGAGAGGAATCACTTTGATTTGCTATATTTGTAGATGGATTTGGTGTTGTAGGTGCACTAATATTTGGTGTATTGTTATAAGACGTTGCATTGCTTGCATTTTCGGACTCATTGGCATTTTTTCTGGATCGCTGTGGACGATTCTGACTTTGTAACTTAATACCTTCTGTAATAGAGTTAACAAGTGCAGCTTGCGAATGTGACTTATTCAATTTAGCCAAAACTCGTTCTTGATGAGCCTCGTATTCGTCTCTGCTCGGATAGATTTTTGAAATTAACAAATCAAAGTTTGGATCAGGTCTGAGAGATCTTTTAGAAACCAATTTCTTTCTGCATGTAGGACATTCCTGTAATAATGCAAAAGTTTAAAAACAATTTAGTACAGATAACACAAACAAATTCCTTGTATTTCACTATAAAATACTACTACATACAGAAAAATAGTATTTACTTTTATTGAAGATATATATATTCAGACTAATTAATATTTCATTTGTCACGCAACAAAAAAAATTTCAAATATGTATGTTGATTGTATACGTGGTTATAGGATAGTCACTGGATAGACATTGAGTTTCTAAAAATTCTGTATTTTATAGCGAATGAATTACGAGAAGAAAATTTGTGATACAACAAATGAAATATTAACCTTATATAAAGTAAACACAGTTGTAACAAAAGTACAGCTTTCCAAATAACAAAAAGTGAACTACTGGCAGACTACATACACATGCATACCGTATTGTATACATGTACGAAAATTGACAGGTAAATGACATTGCATCTTGTAGAAAAAATATGAGATAGTATTATTCGCAACGTTTTAAATATGAGTTAGATGTATTATGTCAAGTACATACTTTATTACCGCTCCGTAAAGCCGTAATAATGCAGTCGGAACAAAAACGGTGGAGGCACTCCTTGGTGGTCATCGTCTTTTTCAGCATATCCAAGCAAATGGGGCACATAAGCTCGCTGTGCAAACTCCGCGGACTGACTGCGATCTCCGTGTTGTCGGTGATCGCGTCCTGTGGAGTGCGATGTAATTCATAGAGCGATAATTCCCATGTTTTGTTGAGGCCGACCTGTTCCGCAGATGCCATCTTGGATTGTTGAATTCGGTTGAATTACATATGACGTATACCGATATAAACGTACATCGATAAAACTGAAGAGACTGACGACGACTACGACGAGTCCGACGACAACTTGACACGACTGTACCAAACCTCTCTGACCAAACAAAGATCAGACTGTACACAACATGACGATTACAATTATTACTCCGTAGCTCCGTAGCAGTCGGTACTGTCGGTAGCAGACTATGACGTTAAAACGCGGATGAAAACGGAGAGGGAATAAACAAGCGCAGACATATAATAAGTTCCACCACTTTCCATGATATTTTTCATCACGAAAACTGCATCGCACATGCGCTGATATGCGCGCACAACACGTGATTAGATAGACTTTGAAATCCGTATTTCTTAAATTTATTTTTACGCATATATTAAAGTAAATTTTATTACATTATATGAGAATTTTACCTTCCTCGATCAAATTTGATTCTCGCTGTACATTCCTGATGATAAAACAGTGATCAAATAAGATAAAATTTTCATTATATATATTATCTTCGGAACAGCTGAAACGGCAGTTGATAATGTCAGCGTTCTTCAATTTTCGCCAGGTTACTGAGGTGTCTCGCACTATACTCGCCGATGTCACCATCGACACCATAAATGCATTTGAAAATCTTTAAGTATGTATAATATATTAATATATAATGCGACATTGACGAGTTGGAAATCAAGAAATAGATCGATAGTTTAATTAACATAATAGACACATATCAATTAATAGTATTTCAAAGATAGGAAATCGCATCCTAAACTTGAAAAAAAGTGTCGCAACCTGATCATTGCTTTTCTGACTGTACACATAAATATATTATTCACAAATAAAAAATATATAAATACATAGATATATATACCTATACATATATTATATGCGGTAAACGTACTTTATATGCCTCTTTTACGACTATTTTATATCAGGGAGGTGAAGATAATTTACGGTCCTTTTTTACAAAGTTTTAAGACAATATCTCATATCAATTAAAATATAGCAGTCTAGTAGTGAGAAGCCGGGACGAAACGCCAACTTGTGATATTCTTCACAATATTATTTTTCACCGATTTTAATTTATCATTAATTTAACATTACATGTTAAAAATTTTAATATGTCTTCCAACATATTATTAAGATCTAATAAGATGCTATAAGCATCAAAAAATTGTGATATTACTGCGGTAGTTAATTATAGAGTTGCGTTATAAGTCTGAAGGATTTTCGGCACGCGTTTGATGGAACTACATACGTGGTATATAAAATTCACTCTATAACATATATCTTATATATGATCGCACCAATAACAGCGAATTACTCACATTAGCCTTCATATTCTTGTTATTTGTAATCTCACATATTATATTTTGTTTTATTCAAATTCTCTTTATTTACAAATGGCATGTAAGAAATATCAACAACGTGTTATTTCTTGATTTACAAATAACGTAAAAGAGGTGATCACACACATGAACGTCCAAATCGAACGTAGGTATGTATAGTTTTCATATCGCTAAAATGAACTTAACGTTTTTTGGTACGTTGGTGTATATGTACTACATTGGGATTTTGATCAGACCTCTGATGATATGACGAAAAAGGTCGTAATGACTGCTCTCAGAATTCTTTCTGACTGATACGATTATTTTATCTTTTTTTTATATCTCAGGGATCTTTTATGTAACGTCACTCTTTGCGCGTATATGCGAGAACTAGAAAGTCTATATGTATACAAACAATTCCAGTAGTATATGAGCTAAGTTTAGTAGTTAAAAAAAAGTGATTGTTGGCGGTATAAGTAGCAGTTATGCGTGGGCAAAATACGTAAGCAGGTATAAATAATGTAACGGTATATAATTCCATGTAAGATGGGCGTAGGCTTGGCCATTTACTATATAGATGCATCTTCTCTTCGAGAGCGACTGGAGATAGATCCATTCTATGGATCGAGCAGATCTAACACAGCAAACTAGACCGACAAGACCCTCGCGTGCCTTTTTCTATTGACCCTAACTGTAAGAGAGTGTAATTGCTGCTGTCCATGCAAGGGGGGTTTCATTGCTCATTTCTGATGTCCCATTTTTCACATGTTTTCCATTGTAAAAGTATCATGCAAAATCAACTTTAATATCAACTCCTTTTTCGTGACAAAAATAAATCTATACACTATATAATTACATTAAATATTATCGAAAATATTTCTGTCTTGTGATAATATAATTATAATCTACTGTGTTAATCGTATGTATTAAATACAAATTAAAATTCAAAGAGAACGATATATGTAAGTATGTTTTCGCGATGATTTTGAATCCAATTATCGCATGAGCAAGAGTTTGTCGTTTCTCGTGACTAAATCATTATCTTAATACTGCTTTCTAATTAAAAAAAATTATAATTAACTACTAGAATTTTACAAAATAAATATGAAACAATTAATATTTTCTTGTAGGTCGTACCGTCGCCGATTGCAGGGCGACATCTCGTCCCACTTAACGACGATGTTGCTCCGACAACTTTTTAAATCCGTTTAATTAGTTGCCTACGGCAAAATGCGACATATCGGTCATTCTCCTTCTTCACATTCCGCTCTTGTGATCATATTCAATAATATCTATATTTCATACAAGATTCGAATCCTCGATAATTTTGTTCCTTCATCCTTTATTATAAATAAAGCACATACGTATTTATCACAAGATTTAGTTTTATCTTCTACATAAAGCGCGCTTCCTTTAACTCGAGCATTTAAATTATTTCTGTTTTTCATGTATCTTGTTTTTTCATACGACAAAATAATAAAAGAAAACATTCAAAAAGGTAAATATTATATAAGCATAAAACATTGTTTTAAAGATTAGTATTTTTTGAAATTCCGATATCATTATTTATTATGAAATTATATGATCTTTTTATACAATATATATGATTTCACCAATTATTCTCTGTATAAATGTATTAATTAGAGTTATCAAAAAATTATAATTCCATTTCTTTTAATGGTGATGAAATTTGATAAAATACGATTTTAAGCAAGTTTTACTTTTACTTACTATAATATTTATCCTTTCAAAACAAATAATTTTTTCTTCGATATTATCATATCGTTAAAAACAACGATACACATTTGAAATGTTAGAGGAAACAACTTGTGTCTACAACATATACTTTGCTAGTATAGGACATCGTTTGATACATCTATCTACATCGGCGTCATGGTCCTTGCCAGATGCTACGATAACAGCGAGTAAGTAAATGTAAATCGGAGATAGGTATAGCTTATATATGTTGCGTAATTTACGTCTCAAGATGTAACTTTCGCTGAAAATCTGTAATTATAGTGTAAACACAACATTAAGTGACTTAGGCAAGATCAACTAACGACCTCTCATGCGTGTCTTCCATTTCACTTGATAGAGAAGCGTTATAATGTTCACCGCGTGTGCAGTAATTTGAAAAATCGACAATAAATCGAGAGATCGCATCCTTATTATTTTTCCTTTCTTGTTTGGTGACTTTTTTTTCTATGGTAATTTTTCAAGACGATTGAACACTCGCATATATCATAAATGTATCTCCCGTGTATTAACCTAGTTCTCTGCGTATTGAAAAAAAGAAATGTGGAAAACAGGAACTGGATTACAGCCGTGACAAGTTTTCCGGTAGACAGTTTTCCCACTGGAAGGATATTACATAATATGCATGCGACCACAATCTCGTATGCTGCTGTCCATAGAGAGGTATCGTAACCGCGCGTTCGCATGGATATTATAGGCATTATACACGTTTTACATTCCTTTTTTGATCATCCGTTTCTCTCACGGAATTACATACAGTTCTGTTTTACGTAAGATCGTACGACCCGCTTTGTTAGATAGCTATGTACATATACATTAATCCTTTGTTATGCACAATATCATTTCAAGCGACAAAACGTTGCATCTAATGGAGTTTCTGTACCGCGCGCGCGCATACGAGAAGTGGTTCGAAAAGAGAGGAATATACATACATATATGTTAGATAGATTTGATATTTCACTAACAAACCTGTCTATATTTATCTGCTTATTGTTTGCAGATCATTGCAGACCGAATATTATTAAGTAGCAATGTACAATTATACGAAGTGTTTTGCTGTTTTCTTCAATATGTATAAAAACAAATGACTAATAAATAGCCATTTATTGTTAATTATAAATTAAAGTGGCTTTATATTTTTCCTTCTATAAAGGTGAATCAATTATTTTTCTCGAAAGCCATTCATTATGATTTACTTGACTGACTTTTTGTTTCTCTGCAGTTATCAATTCTGTTAGACGTCGATAATTATCATTTCTTTCGTCTTACTTCCCTGTTCCCGACATTGCACAAGCATCCGGAAGTAGCGGCGTTCTTACCGCTTGATACATGGTTACATGTATCCGCTCAACCCAGGTCAAGCGTGAATCTAACCCACTGGTATTCCCACTGTCGGGGATCTTATCCTCAGGAATCACTCTGAATTTTTACTCTTCAAGGCTGACGGAAAACAATTGCCTCTGAATTGTGACACGGAGATGTCGCAATTTCTATCCTTTATGCATCGATTTTGTACTATCGCGTCGAGTCTGTTTACAATACTACATCACAAAATATATTTTATTAGATATATAGTTATACAGACGCGGCGCATGTGTCAGATTTAGCATGAATCATTTTTCGCTCAAAGACTGCACATATTGCGCAAATTATATTAAGCAGCTAATCGGTGTATACGGCGGTGGCAATCAATTTAATTAATATTGAATCCTATTTAAAAATATATAGTTATACGCGCATGCATCCTGTGCGATATGAGAATCATTATGGAATCAGGTCTTATGTCTCATTACCATATTCTTCACGCTACTTCCTTATTCTCAACGTTACTTAGGCACCCGGAAACGACATAGTCTTTTACAGGGTGATACACGAGTGCAGACACTTATCTCGGGTCAGACTATATGGACCTGATATGCTCCTTGAG